CCCGCCTCGCGTCAGATCTCGCCGGGAGATACGGACCAGTCTACCGACATAACCTCGACTCGGAACGCCCGTTCCCAGGAACCGGAAGACGGTTCGCATCCTAAGACGGGACTGGAGTATGGACCGCGCCCTACGGCGGGGTCGGTCGATGGACTAAACAAGCTTGACGTTAGTTTCGAAGACATCCCGAATATGAACATGCTGATGAGGAAGTAATATTCCACGAAGGTTCGGGCCTGTTCGCAGAAGACGTGGAAGCTGAGAAGGCGGTGTTACCCGAAGTCTCTTGACGGCTAAAGTGAAGATCGGGAATCTCAAGATTGGGCGTCCGGAAGGAGTGGACCCGAAGGAGGCCGCAGAGATGGAGGAGCGACTACGTCAGATCGTCTGCAAATGGCTGATCGGTAAAGGCAACGCTTTGCCACCCGCCGCAAAAGGCGTCATCTGCGACATCGACGTGGGAAACGCGAAGCCCGTCGCACCGCGCGTCCGGAAGATCTCGTCACAATTCGGCGAGAAATTGGCGGATCTGATTCGAGGGCTCCTCAGCGCGCGAATGATCCGCGCATCGAAGTCACCATGTGTCTATCCTATCGTAGTCATCGTAAAGAAGAACGGGGTCGACATCAGACTCTGCATTGACTATCGACTGGTCAATGGGTTGACGCAGCTGATGGTATACCCGATGCCACTGGTCACAGATCTCTTGGAAGACCTCGATAAGTACCGTTGGTACTGCTCTTTGGACATGGCCAGCGGATTCTGGGTGGTTCCCATGAGGGACCGAGCCCGTCTTATCTCCGCTTTCGTTACGCCGTTCGGGCTGTTCGAGTGGCTACGCATGCCATTCGGTCTGTGCAATGCGCCGCAGATAAACCAACGGTTGATAGACAACGCGCTATATGGCTCCTGGAAACTATCTCCGACGGGAGATACCCGCGATATTTTCAGAGACGGGATCCCGTCTAAGCCTGGAACGAGGTCCGTCCTAAGTCGACGGTCGTACCTTGATGATATCTTGATCGGAGGTACGTCGTGGGACATCCTGTGCAAGAAGGTGGAACGTCTCCTTGACGTCTGTGAGGACTGGCATTTATCGATCAGCGTGGAGAAAAGTGAATGGGGAATGCCGAGAGTAGATTACCGGGGTCATGAAGTGTCGGAAGACGGGCTCGGGGCGAGGCCGAAGAACTTAGAGACCCTCGCGACACTGGAATTCCCGCGTACGCAGAAGGGTCTACAGTCATTCTTGGATAGCCTCAACTACTACCATCGTTTCATCCCAGACTTCGCGATATACGCGACCGTGCTATGTTCCCTCGCCGCTCACGATTCTGAAGAACGAATTTCGAATACTGAGACGCGCGATCGGGGTAAGTGGACTCACGCGGAACGAGCATTTGATACGCTCCGTAGTAAAATCGCGACTACACCCATGTTGAAACACTTGGGTAAACAGCCGGTGGTAATCGTGTACGCGAGTGACTGGGCCGTGTCGGCCGTCCTTGGCCAAGATCATGACGGGGTGTACCTGCCCGTCAAGTTCACCAGTCGGACGTTGAAGCCCAACGAGCTGAACTACAGCATCGCCGAGAAGGAAATACTAGCGCTGCTACGCGTCCTGAACGAGTGTCATAACATGCTGGCAGGGAGGACGATTCGCGTCCTAATCCGACACACGACGCTCAGATGGCTTTTTCGCTCTAAAGGTCTTCAAGGACGACTCTCACAATGGGTTGCAATCCTCTCGCCGTGGAGACTGGAGGTTCTCCGGTCCGCAAACGAGGAAGAAGAGATCCTGGACGCGTTGGCCGCGAGCATTATGCCAATGGCCTACGTTAACTCCGCGCTAGAAGAGATCGCGCCGCGAAAACGCCCGTCTAGGACGGCCCCGATCCCGGTTCCGAAGATCGGACCGACTGAAAGCCTGCACGTGATCAGCTTCGACGGATCCGCCGCGTCAAACGCGAGGGAGGGGCATTCAGCGCCGTCGTGTGGAAACTACCGTACTGGGACGTAGTTCGGGCTACATCGGGGTATGTAGAAGGTCTCACCGTAAACGAGGCCGAATACCGAGGTGTGGTGGAGCGGGATCAGCAAAATCTGCGAAGATGCTGAATCCGAC